GCTTACCTCGTCGTCTGACTCCTCCTCCTCATCGCGGTCATCGCTGAGCTCGTCCTCGTCCTCATCGTCCTCGTCTTCAAACTCGCCCTCGTCGAAGTCCTCAATGTTCTCGTACTGAAGAGCCTCGCCGGTGAACCAGTCAATGGCGCGGGGGATGAGCTTCTCCTTGATGTCCTCACCGAGCTGGTAGTCGAGTTCGAGACGCTCCTCAATATCGGAGGTGGCGTCGTCGTCGTCTTGTGGGGGCTTGGGTGGGTCGAAGAAGTTGAAGAACGACTCTGTAGGCACGGTCTTCTTAACGACGCGGGTCTGCTTGGTGTCTGAGAAAGTTAGTTGGTGGTCAAATACCGACAGATGTCAAGATGCTCACTTTTGTTCCTCTGCTTCTTGCTCTCGATGCGGACGGTCAGGTCCTTGCCAGCCTTCCAGTCGACCTTGTCACCCTCGGCGTGGTCGTAGATGAAGTCGCCGCCGTAGCCATTCTCCTCCTGGTAGAAGTAGGTCTTGGTGATGGTCTTGTTGGTGAAGAACTCGTTCTCCTCGAATTCGAAGATAAGGCGGAAACCGGGGCGGTCGAGGTACTCCATGCGGATGTCGGTCAGGTGCTTCAGAGCAGCCTCGTCGCGGTCTGTGATCATCTCGGCGAGCGAGATCTGGTTCTTCATGGCGCTGAGCCAGAACTCTGGGATACCCTTGACGTCCTTGCCCTCGTCCTTGTTGAGCTCAGCCTCGGGCTGGTCCTCATCCTCGTCGTCCTCGTCTACCTGCTCGCCGACCTTGACGCGGTCTTCTGAGGGCTCCTCGGCGCCGTTGACGATCTTGGCACGGGTCTGGTATAGCGGTGTGAACTTGGCGAAGTACTTCTTCTCGAGCTGCAGGACCTCCTCTTGGAACTCGGCCTCGAGCTTGGAGTGCTCCTTCTGGACGCCCTTGAGGCCGGCAACACGGCGGCGGACCGAGGCAGGCAGCGACTCAATGTAGCCGCTGGAGCGGCCGACGAGCGAGCCGAGCTTGTTCTGCATCATGGCGACGAGGGCGGGGTTGGCGGCGAAGAGACCGGCGGCAGTGCGCTCTAGTTCCTCTGTGAAAAAGCGAGTTAGCGGTCAAGGCCTTCACGAGAATACAGGGCGGGGTTGGAGGGGCAGGAGCGTGGCAGAGTGCGACGTACCTTCCTTGATGCTGCTGACGCCGGGCTGCTGGGCGCGCGACGATATGGGCGCGGCATTGGCGGGTGTGTTCTGGGGGGTGCTGGCAGGGCGCACGTTAGAATGTGGTACGTCCATGTTGGGGGTGTGTGGTGGTGGTGTTTGGGCGAGGCCAAAATTGTGTGGCGGAGGGGAGGGAAGCGACTTACGGGGCGGAGATGGAGTCCATCTTCTTATTGCGGATCGGCTCAGACATCTTGGCAAATGAGTGATGTCGGACTGCGAGTGGCGAGTTGGGGTGCAAAAGGTGGATGTTGTGGGTGAGCCGCAGAATTGTTCGGCGGGCTGAGCGAGAAGAACAGGCGCTGGGCAAGGCAAGGTCGCCCCTCTACGGCACTAGTCACGCCTAGTGCGAATTCCAACCGGACACTGCGAGACGGCAACAAACAAAGCCTTTGCGACCACCAAGACTATCGACGCTGCCGTGGACGGGGGGAGATGCAGTGCGCGAGGCAGAGGCGGGCGGCGTGTCTATTTGTACCTTGACCGTCTTTTGCGCAGAGGCGTGGCACGTGTGCCCTGCCTTGCATCTCTCCGACACTGTAGACGGGCGATTCAAGTTTATCTGGCGGCGATACCTCACTTGCTTGTGCGCGCAGTAGTCTACCACGTCGACTGCCCTGCACCGTGGCCACGGCCGACCTTGCCCGCCGGTACTGGGAGAGGGGACATGGGGACATGGGACATGGGGAGCGCATATTTTTCATTCCATTGGTTAACGAGACTTTTCCTCCGACCTGTCCAAAGCCGGCCGGAAAATGCCCCGATTGAACTATTGCGCACACCGTACTTACACTGAGGTGCTGTATACCGCCACGGCCGCCCTGGAGCGAATACCATCTCTACACCCGTCCGATCAGCGTCAGCTTCGATTAGCAGCCACACCTGCCTTCTAGAACAAAGCGGGTCTCTGGAAAATCCTTAGCAAACCCTTAGCAAAATCTCTCTGGCTCCATCGCGCTTGCCTAAACTCAAAAGCGGAAAGCGCCCCTGGGCAACCACGGATGGCAGCATGTTGGGGGTGGATGTCACCAAGAGTCATGTTCTCTACTGGCGACTAGCGGCCTGTGCAAGCACACTATTTCCGGCAGTTGCAATCATGAAGCAAGAACTGAACCTTTTGACATGGACATGGCAATGATGCTTCTACAGTCTTCCCTGTATCCTTCCCAACCTCCTCGTAGCCACAACGGCCATACACGCCGAACAAGCCCCAATGAACAGACAAACCGCAATCGCATTCGGGCCATCCGTCTTGTGGTGTTCCTCTGGCGGCGCCTCGCTCAACTCCGGGCTTTTCCCGGGCTCCAGGATGGAAAACACTACCCACGATATCCCTGTGCCCATGAACTGAGGTAGCGTGGTATACAGATTCATGATGCCGAGGTATTGCCCTGAGCTTGCTCCGCCGCTGGAGGAAGGCGCGCTGCCCTTTTCGAGGTTGGATTGCGCTTCGGGAAGGTCGATGGAGGTGCGCTTTGGATGGGCGGAGTGCGAAGAGGAAGTGTTGAGGCGGTTGATCTCTACGCCGAGGAAAGCGAAAGGAGCCCAGCAGGCCACGGACCATGATCTGTGTTGTCAGCTTGGGTTCAATGAGTGGTGTGGTGATGGTGGTTACTCACACGCCACAGCAAGCAATGATGATGGTTGCGTGCCTCAAACTTCTCACAAAAGGTGCCATGACCATGCTTCCTGCAAAGATACAATGCGCAGTTGTCCACGCGGTAAGCAGGCTTGGTTTGTATTTCGCCAGTCCCGTCAACTGCTTAGGTGGGCGAGAGAAGCCAGGACCCTTTTCGTCTTCTTCTGGGCTCTGTACGAAGAAAGGCAGAAGAACAGACATGACGAATGTAATGATGGAAAAGGCGATGAGGGCCATGGAACCAATGCGGCCGACCTTCCCTGTGAGGTCACCCGCAGCTTTGACTTCTGCTGGGGCGTCGTATCGTAGGTATACTTCACCAACCCACGTGGTGCTGTAGAAGAGGAAAGGAAACCAGCCTAGCCACTGTTAGTTCACAAGCATACGAACGATACGATAATGACATACCAATCCAAGCCCAGAACTGGACTGTGCAGATAGCCTGGATACTTCTAGGCAGATTCAAAGCAGTATGCACGATGGTACCGAGAACTTGCTTGAGATCCAGTTCCTTGCCCTCCTCCGCCCCATCATTAACGAGCACCCTCTCCGTAACAGCCCAACTCGTTGTTCCAATCGCCAAGCAGAGCGTCAACGCCGCAACACCCGTCAACTGCTTGAACTGTGTATCCCCCAACATAGGTCCAAACACATTCTTCAGATCAATTGCTCCCGCCCCGTACCCAATCAGACTTCCGACCGCCACCATTCTACTCGCCCAACTACTGCCCATTTGCTGTTTCGCAATTGGCAGCGTATCGACGACCAGGCCTCTGCAACTCCCTTGCACGGCATTGATAGCGAAATCAATACCGTATATACTAAACACCGCCACGTATATCGTTGCGCTCTTAGCCGCAGCCTCGTCCTTTATAAAGTACCGAACCACCTCTTTCGTCCAGCCCAGCAGCAGCAAGAACATGGCTACTAGTATCGTACCAAAGAACATGAACGGTCTCCGGCGGCCCCAGCGAGAGGTAGATCGATCCGCGACGACACCGACGATAGGCTGCATTATAAGGCCTGAGAGCGGACCGGCGACCCACACGAGGGATATCTTCGACTTCGTGAGACCGAGCTCGAGGAGGTAGGGTGTGCAGTATGTCATTTCGACATTCCACGTGAACCTGCATGGTGCTTAGTACAGGGTGCAGGAAGAACTCGTGGGAAGCGGAGATTTACTGCAAGCCGATGAGCGAGGCTGTGAGCAACGCCATGCGCATGCTCTCAGTCGAGCCCTTGACTGAGGGTGTGCCCTGCCATTGCGCAACAGACGGCATCTTCCCCTGGTACTATCCTCGTCCTTGTACCGTGGCAGCAACGTGGGCGCAGTCGCGTGCGCTTCTCTCGGGGGTCTTCGCGTAGTTAATGAAACTTGGAAAGGCGCATTGGGTAGCCGGATCGTGTGGTAGGATTTCGTATTACGTTCGCGTTATGCAGGGACTCGGTCGGGCCAGGTATCGATTAGAAGAACGCGCTCAATGCATCCACGTATGAGGTGACAATAAGGTGGGAAAAGCAATAAGAGAGTTCCAAGGGAGTGAATGGAAGTTGGTATTTGTCTCGTGTCTAGGAGTCTAGTCTGAAGAGGGGAGGGCAAGGCGTGCAAAGGAGGAGAGACGTCGTCAGCTCCATGGCTTGGCCGTGTCGCTTGTCGAGATGATTACGGATGTCGGGATCGTGGAAAGGGCCAAACGGCGGCTGGATGGAGCTAGACCGTTAGAGCGAGCGGGCCGTGTGGCGCACCCCCGAACATCTGGTTCGGCGCAGTTAGGACCGACCGATGGTCGTGGAGCTGTTGCTCGAACTTCGCATGTTGGCATCTTCATATACGTTTGCTCGCTGTAACGGTGTCTTCATTCAGTGTATCCGGCATGTGCGTCATAATGATGATTACTGGGAGCAGGGTCCTTCCAAGCTAGCTCCTCTCACGGCGCAACAATATCCAAGGTTTCGGCAACATACTGATTGACTTTTCTATGACACGCATTGCAAGAAATCAAGGAACAACCTCGTAACCCAAAGGAGATCTAGAACAAAAGGAAACAAAGAAAACCACCGCTTCCTGCAACACTCAAACCTAAGATCAAAACACAGATGGAAAGCCCGCCTGCTCACTCTTCCAAGAGTATCTATCTCGCATCTCTTATCCGCTAGTAGTCGTCTCCAAAGCTCAGCCCCGAGACATCCGGCGTCGAGTCGTCTGCCTTAGCCGGTAGGAATTGTCTGATGATGAAAGGCGCCCCATCCCCGCTACGCTCCGCTAGTACTGCCTGCAAGATGTCGTACTTGCCCAAAATATACTCATCCTGGGTCCACTGAAAAGTCTTGGAGAGGTCAGTGATCTTGTGCGCGATCTTCACACCACCACGTTGCATTGGCCGGGGACTCTTCTGTAAGTCGCCCTCGAAGTAACCCCATCGGTAGGGATCCGCCTCGTCGATCATGTACTGATCAGACGTGTTCTCGATGGTCGGCTCGAAGTTCTGTAGCAGCCAAACAGCGCCGGCCGTGTTGTCGGCATCGATAACGACGACCATGACCCAGTCTGTCGGTGTCCATGGGGCGTCCTCGTCCTTGGATAGTTTGCCGTTTGCTGACCAGTATTCCTCTTCGGCTGCAAGGAGCTTTCCTATTTGAAAGCATACGAATCCAGTGCTGTCATTTCCCATAATGCTGCTTTCTGTGCTGGATTCACTGTGGTAGGACGAGTCCGTATCGTCTTTGCGCCTTCGTCTGTTGCGGTCCTCTCTTTCGTCCTTGCATCTAATCTGTTTTCCCACCAGAGTTACGGCAATGATAGGCTCGGCGGCAAAGTCGCGTGTGTCATCGAAGTCGGTTCGGTCGTCATCGGGTCCTAGTGTGGTCAGGGACGGGTTGAGGCGATAGCGGTAATCGTTGTGAGACCCGGCGGGTATGTAAGGATAGGCGTATGCTTGGAGCACTGCGAATAGTTGTCTCAGAGATGACTCGTTGGAATAATCAGTGTGGGCGAGAGCGTTGAAGTATTCCTTGGCCTCTCTGGCTTCAGGCATTGTTCGGGCCAACTTGTCTTCCGTGTGTACCCATAACCAGAACTTCTCTTGTTCCACCGCAGTTGGCAGTAAGTCTCGGAGGAGATCGGCGTCATTCGCGTAAATGCTGTCGTCTTTCTCGTCCTTGGGGTCTTTGGTTGTGTCCTTGGTGTCTTTGGTCGTGTCCTTGGTGTCTTTGATTGTGTCTGATCGAGATTGCTCTCGCTTCGCGAACATCCTCTTTCGAATACTGGCAAAATTGACGGCTTTTGCGAGAGTGTAGTGAGTGGGAGGAGAGAAAGCCTTGTCCCTGTATTGTTCACCTAGCTTCTCGTCCGTGATTTTGCTCTTTCTCGCCTGCGCCTCTGACATGGTTCGTGCAGTGGAGTGAGGGGTTGACTTTAGAAACGATATTACGCAGAGACTTCCCTTGGTTGTGAGCAGAGATAGTTATGGTTGCACTTGCGCTAAGCGAGCTGGAAACCAGGGTAAAGTGAACCGAAAAGCGTCGAATAAGGATTCCAACGTTGACTCATCGCCTTTAATAAGTGACATGAAAAGAGGTGATTGTATCTGTAGTGGTGCGTCCTGCGCATGTCCACGATTGCCTCCACATGGACTATGCATGACTTGTCAATCAACTCAGCTTGCGCGTGATTGCCGCAGGTACACACACTGGCTAGTAACATCAGAAATCTGTTCATCAAGCACGATGAGTTTTTGTCGAACCAAGACCAATTTTGGTCTTGTTTGCTGAGCATCCATGTACTCAGATGAACTTTGGAACAGCTAGATAGATGGGGGTTCGGGGCACCTAGGCAACACGTGCGGTCCGGTGCGGAGCGCAATGGAACCGTGGACCGACTGACGTCAATTGTGATATGAGTGCGAACAGTATATCGAGATATTTCGCGTTGGAATGTGACGGTATCTACGCGGCTTGCCACTAGGTGGCAGCAGTTTCCAGGGTCCACGGGTGTGTCCAGGGATCAGGCAGCTGCAGTTTGTACCACCGCCCAATCAACTTGAAGAAGGTAGACGTCATTGGCACAAGCGCATGTTAACATGCTTCCGAGACATTCGGCTTGAGCAAACGCTGCACTGCGCGGGTAATCTGATCCCGTTCAGGACATCAACGTCTAGACCGCGACGGCGCGGCCCAACCCGCAAATACTCCCCGTGCTGGATGAGGCTCGACAGCAAGCATAAACTACGAAAGCTAGATGAGCATAGCAATCATAGAGCTTGCGCCTTCGATGCACATGAAAGCGAACCTTGGAATGCAGACCAGATCCCGGGACCTCGGGAGTGTCTAGGTGTACTATCCAATCTTCAAAGCTATGAGCTACCAACATTGTGAATGACACAAACAGATCCCACCGTCGACAAAGATGAAAGACCAATTCCTGGCAGTCACAATACAGGCAAAGTGCAAGATACGACAGTACAAACGCGTAGATGAGAAATACATAGACAGCTTGACAGGATGTTTGACGGGCAAAGCTTCCGTGAAAAGCTGCGCACAATTGTGGTGCACTTCGTGCGAACATAGGAGAGGGGATGTAGTCTCAATGCTCCTTTGCTGCCACCGAAGTAGGATATCTCGTCCGGGCCATCAATGCGAAGTCTTAGTACGCAGCAAAATATACACGTGGAATAGCCTGTAGAAGACGGTTTGGTTGAAGATCATAATTACGATCAAGATCCATGACATCCGCATGAGACTCATGATCCCGCATGACTATCGGTATAACCCAAGCTGCTTGTTCTAATCTCTTGTTCGGCCTCAAACAGCAGTTTGAGAACGACGTCATTGGTAGACGGGAGCGGCAAAGCAACTGGAGGAGTTGTGAAATCAGATCGGGCTTGCTAGTTAACAGCTTGCTCTACCAAATGGCTTGATTGTGCACCTGGTCAGGGAAACCCCGTCACGAGCATGGAGGTACGTCAAATGATAGAGGCCAGCAAGCGTATTTTTCCGTATTTATACACCCAGAACTGTTCTTCACAGCTTCACTCATCACTACGCTCAAGGAGTTCCTTTCCTCAACTTGAATCCCTTTCCTCAACTTGAATTCCTTTCCTCAACTTGACGCAACACTTCTCTTGACTTAGGAGAATGGAGGTGGTGGCTCCCGATCCGGAAAAGGACGCTGCTCCCAAATCGTCCCCTGATCGCCGACCCAGACATTATGCTACGAAGAATTGGGACAACCTTTCGACAACCTGGCAGAAGGCCACTTCACCCAAGGGATTGATAATGCAACATAAGAAAAGAGTCCTAGCAATCGCAGCAATAGCGGATCAGATACGGTGGACGTGTCTGCAAATGAAGCTCGAAGACTGGCCCGAAAAGAAGACAATTGTAGCCATGCAGTTCATCCACTCTAACACAACCCAGCTTCAAATGATTTGCTATGAGCCGCTCAAGGAAATCCGCGATCACATCAACAAATTCGGTCCAGAAGTCATGGCCATGGTACGTTTCCTCTTCTTATCAAAATGATATTCAGATGCTAATAACAATACAGCAGTTTGGCTTGAGAGGCACCAGCTATTGGCTTATGCCATCGCAGAAGAGACAAGTTGAGCCTTTCGTTGTAGAGCCGAGCAAATTCAAGACAACAACCCCCATTCCACCCGAGAGTGCCCAAGTTCGACATAATCTTACTACCATGGGACTGGAGGCAACTCTGTACTTGGAAGCTCTGGACACCCCCGAAGCTTATATGGAAGAGATCAAGCGACTCAAACACGAACAGCTTGGCCACTTTGAGTACGGACTGCCCTCGACAGAAGAAGGTGAGACTTGGGAGGATGCTCTGCGGTCTACAATGAGAACTATCGATGCGGCAGAGATGGAAGTAGAACGCCATCACAGATGGATAGTTGACAACAAGAGATTATCGGACTGGGACCTCCAACCGCTCAGCATTTTGCGTGCCAGAAAGGACATGCCCACTCGATCAAACCAGGAGCTCTTGCTTGAGATCGCCATTCAGGCCCGACTCGGTAGCCCAACCACACAGACCCAAACTACGATGCAAAACTGGACCACCGATACGGAAGTCAGGAAAAGCCTTGATGTTCAATTAGGCCGTTTCATGGTTAAAGGAAAACGACCAAGAATCTGGACAAACTACTTCACTCACGCCATTGATCACGCTAGCGGCGCGGAGCCCGCCATGTTCTTCATATGTCAGCATAAGCATGCCAAGGGGAATACCAAATGGATCGTCGGAGCCAGCACACCTCTCACTGGGTCGGACGCACGCACAAAATGGGCCTGGGCCGAAACCGTTTACAAAGCGGTCAGGGATCAGGGCATGGGAAAAATCTGGGTTGAGGCTGTGGGAAGGGTTAACGATCGTCAGCGTAAGGAGGAGCGTAAAGAAGCCGCCAAAGGACCCGTGCCCCCCCTCAAGTCGCCAGAATGGGTGCCCATCCGACAGCGAGTGCTTGCGACACTTCAATCTGATACAGCTCACCAGCGAGAGGTAGCTCGACTGGCATGCAAAGGGCTGGCCATCGACAAATCAATGGTACCAACGCAGTGTTGTTACCGTTGCCAAGCCAATTTCCAGTACTATGTACTGTCAAATCACTTGACGCCAACCATCCCAGAATATTCCAAACATCTGCAAAACTACGACTGGGTATCTCAATGTGGTTGGGACCAGCAGTGCGCCGAGGCAACTGCTGCATGCCAATGCCAGAATCTCGACGACGAAAACAACGACGAAAACAACGACGAAAACAAACCCAGCTCGTTGAACCGGACAGTAAAGAAGAAGAAGAGCATGGGGCCGGGATTCTTGTTCAAAAGATAAGGGCCCATCGCCATCGGTCTCGAGCTCCTTTCGTCCCCCCCCCCCTACGAGTGGCTACAACTCGTGCCGCAGTTTGCAGTATACATCCTACGGAATCTTAGCAAGTCAACACCTGCTAAGATGATGTATACTCCAACCTCGAAAAGTCTGCGTCACGATTCGTAGCCATCCGTGGTGCTCCTGTCTGGCATCGTCGTCGCCGAGGCCTCTTTCTCAGATCTGTATCTCTTTTGTCGCGTTGCTTCCTTTCATCGCCTTCCCCCTACCTGTCACCCTCTCCTTGTAATCGCTCTCTGTTGCTATTCGCGTTGGTTTTGGCTCATGTACCCCCCTAGATCTTCCTTTCTCGTTCCACACCTTTCCCACACCCCCCTGCCCTCTATCCACTTCATGTCTTCCGTCGAATCCCCACTCGCCTCCAGTCTTAGATCGTTTGTGTATGCTGTTTCAGAGTTTCCATCATTTTCCAGTTGCTTTCCCCTTCCATAGAAAAACCCCAGAAATAAGATTCATCTTGCCAACCCCGTCTCTCGTATCGTGATCTGCTTGTCTGCTCGATTATGTTGCCAGAGGTAACGATCATTTTGCCAGAGATAACGATTATTTGTATTGTGTTCTACAAACCTATCATTGAGCCAGACGTATACATTGGACTTGAGTGTGTTCACTCATCGAGGTTCAGTCATGTGTATGCAGCAATATGCGACACCGACTCTCGCCTTCCTTAAGAATATCCTTCTCATCTAGCTGCTATCACACTTGCAGTCGTGGATAGCTTGCTTCCGACTAACAACAGTTCATGGTCTTTGGCTGGATTGCATTGAGCTTACGATCGCCGATATACTAACAGTTCACCTTGATGGACATGGTTCAACCAGACCTCGATCACCTCGACACATCAACACCGCACACACAAGCCACACATAACACACGCATCCAATAAAGTTAAAAAAGATATATCATTCGCGCAAAAGAACCCCAGCATTAAATACCCAACATCATCATGCGTCATACGCGCCCACTGAATCCTCCCCACGAATAGTAAGTAAGCAGTAATTTCGAAGCAACACCCACCCCCCTTTCCATCCCTCCCAGAAGTTCCAGCAACTAGACCAGAAGACAGAAAGAAGAAGCCACAGCTTTGCTCCTAACAACTTTACAAACATTGGGAGTTCCCCATCATCATCATCTGCGGCGCTTACTTTCCTCCCGTTGTCGTCTTTCTCGTGCGCGCGTGTCGTTTCATGTGTCTAATACCAAATTTTCGCTCGCTGTGCTGACAAAAGATGCTAAAGTTCATGCTTCAATTCCTTCTTCAATCGTACCGTGGCCGTTCATTCCGTTGCCGTTCATGCCCATGCCGCCGGTGAGAGCCTGCATGGCGTCGCCGTTGCTCTGGCCGTTGGGCATGTCGTCGTCGAACTCGAGCTTCTCTTGCTGCGCAATGGCTTGTTGCGAGACGATCTCTGCGAGGCGCTTGAGGCGGGGGGTTTGCAGCCCTGTCGATCGTATTAGACGTGTGCCGATGGTGCGGTAGATGGTTGAAAGGAAATACTTACAGGAAGGCGTGTATGTCTCGAGTGCTGTTATCACTCTTGGCTCCGCGATTTCGTACGGGCCACTGTCCTCCATGTCGACCGCGGTGAGGAGAAGAACGTCGCTCTTCTCCGTCACGCGCGACGCGACGGCCTTCATGATCTCGCCGTTGATGGGCTGCTCGTAGTCGGCTACCAGGTACTGGTTCAGGAGCTTCTGGATCTGGTTCGGACTCAGCATCCAGCAGATGTCCTGAATAATCTCAATGTCGTTCAAAGTAGCCTTCTTCAGCTGGAGCAACTTAGTTGCTTGCATCAGATGCTCGAGTTGCAGTGTACCCTCTGGCATGTCATGCGACTTGCACCACTCTTCGATGCGGGTGATGTTGTAGTTGATCTGCAGACCTCGCTTCCATGAAAGGAAGTTGCGGCGCATGAGCAAGTCGTTGAAGGCAGTGACACCCACCAGCCTCAGCAACTCGGTAACACACTGTGTGATGATGGAGTCTTCCAAGTAGTAAGCCTTCATGGCCTTGTAGACGCTGTTGAGTAGGGTGAGTAGGTTGTCCATGCTGTAGGCAGGGGTGTTGCTGCCCTGGAGCAGCTTTCCGAGGAAGCGGTTGCTCTCGTTGGTGACGAAGCCGGGTAGAGATTGTGATTCGATGATAGCAGGGATGATCATCTTGTGCAGCTTCTTCTTGAGCACCTTCATCCAGGTGTGGTAGATGTTGAACTCGAGACTCTCAAGATCGTGCTTGACAATCTCCAGCAGTCGGTCGTACTCGTAGTTGTCGGTCTTCTGTTGCTCGTACCAATCTTCAGCGAGGAAGACGAACGAAAGCATCTCGTGGACGTTCGACAACCAGAAGGCACCTGGGTTGATCGCGTCTTCAGCATCGTGCTGCATGACCTCTTGTTGGATCGACTGCATAACGTTCGCGAGGAAGCGCTCTGATTCCTTGACGAAACCGTTATTCCACATCTCGGAGGTGACAAGGTTGATGAGGTAAGCTGGGAAGAGAACCTCCTTATCGGTAGGTGGGGGTGTTGTGGTGGGCGATGGGATCTTCAGGTTCTTGATCAGGCCAAGAGTGACCTCATCGTTCAGCATGTCCTCCTCAGCAAGGATGTTCTCAAGCTCAAGCTCGACGTTATCGAGCTGAGCAAACGTTGAGCCGGAGAGGTTTTGCCTGTGAATGGTGGAACCAGGAGCCATGGAGACAGGTCGCGGGTTGTATTGTTCGCTGAATCGGTTGATGTCGCGGGTGTCTGGTCCAGCACTGCGCCTCTTTGGCTTCTTCGACGAGACAAGCTTGATCAAGCTGCTGGGGGCTATGGCAGTGGAGTGACCGTTTGTCAGCTCACCAGGCATTGGGCCGGATCGCTTCATCAGTTCAACCTGCTCTTGCAGCTCGGCGAGTTGCTGGCGGAGCGACATCTTTTCGGTCTCAGTGACATTGCTCCTCCTCTTGGATTGCTCCAGGTCGTCTGTGGTCCTCTTAAGCGACGCACGGAGTTCCTTCTCCTCTTCTTGAAGATGGCGCATCTTTGCGGTGCTCTCTTCGTAGCTTGTCTGCAGCTTCTTGTACTCGTCTTCCATCTGGCTGAGCTTGGCAGCGGTGATACCAGCCTGGTTGGCCTCGGCTTGTAGCTCCTTCTGGCGGTTCTCGAGTGTACGGCTGCGCTCCTTGTACGATTTGATCTGGCTCTCGTAGTTCTCCACTTGAGACTTGAGCGACTTGTTCTGCTCCCTCATCGTACCCAGATTCTGGGTAAGCTCGACAACCTTGTTTTCGAGCTTGTAAGAGATGTTCTTGAGATCGCGAGATTCGGCGCGGAGGACCTTGTATTCCCTGCGGGCCTTCCTTCCCCTCCAGAGCTTCTGGACAGTGATGATGTCGTTGATCTCCTTCTTGTAGGCGCGGATGTATCTTTGTTTGCGCCAGTTGCGTTGAATCATGCGAGCAGCATCTCCAAGCCTCTTGTCCAGGATGTTCTTACGGAGCAAGAATCCCTTTGCGGCTGCCTCAAATTTGATAAGCGAGTTTCGGACAACAAGGAAGCGCTTGCGGTCCTTGCTACCACGCCAGACTCTCTGGATGGTGGTTGCAGCCTTGACCTGCCTAGCCTCCTCGGCTCGTTCCCTGGTCATGTAGCCCCTAGCCAATGATTGCACGTGGATGACAGCCTCGCGCATCTCGAGGTAGATACGGCGGTAGTATTTGGCTCGGAGGTTCTTCTGAATCATGACGGCGGCGTCGTTGAGTCTGGCTGTACGCAAGTTCTCGAGGAACGCAAGCATACCAGCGCGGAAGAAGATCTTTGTCAAACCCATCTGGTACTTGTCGGTGCCATCGTTCTTGCCGGCACCTAGCGCCTTCTTCAAGATTGCCGTGGCCATGTTTCGGATTTCGGGCGTCCAGTCAGCGGATCTGACCAACATGTAGTAACGCAGGGCGAATTCCTCATAAGTCCATCGTGTGGGGTAACCGGCGCAACTGATCCTGACAGTTTCGAGAACACCACAAGCGCGCAATTGGCTGAGAACCATGGGTCCATCGAATTGCCAAGCAGCCTTGGCCTCGTTGGGCTTGATACATCGGATATAGTGGACGTCGGTTGAGTTGATGGTCTGCATGAGTTCGATGAGAGACGATTTGAAGATACCACCGAGTGTTGGCTTGCGGTTGGTCGCCATTCTTCGGCCAGCCGACATGGCAGTACCCGGCTTGGACGAAGCGCTAGTAGCATTCTCCTTCTCTCGGATCGACGCAGCAACGTCCAAGACTTGGGTCAAGAACTTATTGCTTGCAGCCTTGAGGACCTCCATGTGTTCGTCCGGCACAGTATCTCTGTTCTTCTCGATGAAGCCATCAGATTCGTAGGTGACATCGATGGCGTAGTGGCAGACAGTGAAGGACGACTTGCCGAACCGGGGCTTCTTGTAGAATTTGTGCTTGTCTCCGGAGTAGTTGTGGTGTAGCTTAGTAACGAATTGCTCATCCGAACCCATGGGCAAGCGCGATTCTTCGTCTAGTAGAGACAAGATACCTAGCTTGCCTTCAATAAGATCGATACAAGGCTGGTTGTCGGCGAAGTCGATGAAAGTCCAGTCGATCTGTTCGCGCATGTACTCCTCCTGCTCCAGCTTGAAGACGTGTGCGTTAAACTCTTGTTGCAATTTTTCATTAGCGTAGTTGATACAGAACTGCTCGAAAGAGTTCTTTGCGAAGTGCTCGAAACCGTAGATATCGAGGACACCAATGAAGGTGTGGGCTTGCGCAATAACCTCTTCGGTGGCCAGACTCTCGTTTGTGCGCTCGACCAGCCAGTCGAACAAGCTCGAATAGATGAACTTGGCAACGGAGTCTCGGACCACGATAGCCTGCTGCTGCGTCAAGTTGGAGACAATCTTCTCTCCTCTGGTAATGAGTTGCTTCTTTACAATCCACTTGGCGAAAGTGT